GTTCTTCTAAATTTCGCATCGAAAAGTTCAAAATTCATGAAAATCTGCCAATTTCACCAAAATTTAGCAAGATTTTTTATCGAAAAATAGAGTTTCAACAAGTTTCTATCAAATTGTGAAGTTCCCGGAATATTTTCCACTGAAAAAGTAAGGAAATTTTCTGATTTCAAACACACATTTTCAAGGGGGGCCCTTCTCGAAGGGCTGTTCTATTAGAGGGGCTCTTCTAATTCAAGTTTTACGGTATTCAAATTCCAAATCCTTGCTGACTTTCAGAATAAAAAAAATAAAAATATGTCTTTTTAAACTTTTTTTTTTTTTGATTTTTGAGATTCCAAATCCCAAATTTTCAATACCAGTCGGTTTACGCCCTTTCGGGGCTGAACCTCCTGGCCTCCGGTCGCCCTCCACCATCGCCCTTCCTGTCCACCACCCTTTAGTGTGGTGAAACCAAGGAACATCTCCAAAAGACTTCAAAATCAAACATTTGAAAAAAGAAAAGTACGGGCATCTAATTAGAGATATTTCTGATCTACCTGCCAGGTTTCAGCTCAATCGATTAACTTTGAAGGGGTGAACGGCCACGCGACATACATACGCACATACAGAATTTGATGAATGTTATTAATAATGATTAGAGATAAGAAAGGGGGAGATCTGGCCCTCAAAATATTCGAATTTCAGCCAAATTTCAAATTCGATTTTCTCGGATCTGGAATGTCCGCAGCAAAATCTGAATATATATTTGAAAATGTCTCATTCTCAGCTTTCGAATGATATAGGCCTCATATCAAAGTCCCATACCCCAGTTACAACCTTCCCTAGTTAGTAATGATCTATGCTAATCTGTCTTTTCTGATTTAAATTAAAATTTGAAATGTCCCGTTTTTTTCAGAAATTTGATGTAAATTTATGCTGAAAGTGTGTCTAGACAAGGAGATTCTAGTGGGTATAAAATTTGAAAATTTCTGACTCACTTTTTGAACTGAAAAATTGAAAAATTGAGAAAAAATTCAATGTTTTCAAGTTGTCCAATTCCTCAACTTCTTGATCTTAAATTCAATTTTTGAAGGTTTTGTGAGTGGAATTCTAAATTTTTCAAGTACGCTTTTCAGACTTTTATCAGTTCCTGGAACTTCAAAAAATCCAAAAAATCCAAAAATTCGGAAATTCCACAAAAATTAAAAAATTGAAAAGGTTGAAAAGCCCAACATTTTTTCCAAGTTCGATAAATCTGGAAAGTTTGGAAACTCGGAAAAGTCGGAATTTCAAAAAAATTCGAATTTTTTCCAAATCCAAAACAAATTCCCTTTTCTGGACCCCAGACTTTCCCACGACTTATTTTTGGCTCCCAAATTTTGAGCTCCCCGAAAATAAACTTTAAGATTTTTGAGATCACAAATGTCTTCGTTTTTTCCCTTCAAATGGAAATTCGACTATAAAGAAATGTATTTTTTTTACTTTTAGAATCTTCCACAATCTCTTGTTTCACTCAATTTTCTTTTTCATTCCGATCTTTAATTCAGAATTCTTAACATTTCGGATCCGAAAGAATCACCTGGATCTGTTTTATTACGTAATTATGAGCACAAAGAAAGTGATTGGTCATTGGCAGAAAAGAAAAAAGTCTGATTTTTTAGTTCCTCAATTTTTTGCTGTTGAGCTTCTAGGCCTTCTGGGAGCCCAGATACAGTCATTTAAAATTTTGTAGGTGAGATACGCAGACAACGAGAGACGAACTGGAATTTTTACTTTAATTTTCTAAAACTACTCTAAATTTCCTACAATTGCGTCAAATAATCATGTTTCTAGCTAGTCTAGGAGCCGAGATACAGTGATTTGAAGTTACGGAGGCTAGAGACTCAGACGACGAGACACGCTGTGTCTCTAGCCTTCAAAACTTCAAAGCGCCGTATCTCGGCTCAAAATTGAGCTAGAAAGTTGAAAATTGGACAGAAAAGTGTTAAAAATGTGTCTTTTGTATCCTAGAATTTTTTCTCAGGGATTTTGAATTTTTGAATTCTCAAAAATTCAAAATTCTAGATTTCTAGTGTTTTCTAAACTTCAAAAAGTGCTCCTTAAAATTTTAAGCAGTTCTGTCCAATTTTCATCCTTCTAGCTATCCAAGAAGCCAAGATAATGCCATTTGAAGTTTAGAAGAGACGCAGGCAATTAGAGTTTTGGCGTTTTGAAAACCTATTCAAAAAGTGCTCCATGAATTTTTACACCTTTCTGTGCAATTTTCATATTTCTGGCTCTTCTAGGAGCCGAGATATAGCCATTTGAAGTTTGAGAGGTCAGAGACGCAGTGTGTCTCGTCGTCTGGCGTCTCTCGCCTACAAAACTTCAAATGACTGTATCTCGGCTCAAAATTGTGCTAGATAGTTGAAAATTGGACAGAACTGTGTGAAATTTTAAGGAGCACTTCTTGAAGGCTCTGATTTCCGAAATTCCAGAACATCTATACTTCGAGATTACTGAAAATCGAAGTCAGATATTGGCAAAACTTCCAATTTATGAAACTTGATGACTTTAAATTTGAAACAAAAATTTTAAGGTTTTTTGGAATCACAAAAATCACAAAAATTTCAAAAGATGATCCTTGAAATTTCAAACATTTCTGTTCACCTTTCATGTTTCTAGCTAGTCTAGAATCCCAGATACAGCCATTTAAAATTTTGAAGGTGAGATACGCAGACAACGAGAGACACTGCGTCTCTAACCCCGGAAATTTCACGGTGCTGTAACTATACTCCCAGATGAGATACAGTGCTTTAAAAGTTTCGAGGAGACGCAGACAGCTAGAGTGTCTTGCTTTCCGCGTCTCTAACCTTGGAAACTATGTATATTCTAGAATTTGGATTTTCAGAATATTCGAGAAAAGAACCAAAACTTCCTGAATATGACGCGCGGGATATGACAAAACTATGACAAAACTTTTGTAGTCGTCCAGAAGGAAAACGAGCCTTTGTAGCCCCTTCTCTCCCCCACGCCTTCACAAAAAGAGTGAGTACGTCATCTGAAAGGTTGGAAAGTCAGAAATTTTAAAATAAAATGTATAGATCCCGTTTCTCTTCTACATTATCAGTTCATCCTCAGTTTCCTCTTTGCTAGTTGACGTGGAGGCAGAGTTGAGGCACATAGTTTTTGAGCAATCCTGACAGCTTCCGGAAATTGAAACTCACTGAGAAAGAGGATAGACTGAAAGGAAAACGAGCTTTCTAGCGCTCCATTGAGCTGAGATACGGTGCATTGAAATTGAGGAGGCTAGAGACGCGGACGACGAGACACACTGCGTCTCTGACCTCTCAAACTTCAAATGGCTATATCTCGGCTCCTAGAAGAGCCAGAAATATGAAAATTGCACAGAAAGGTGTAAAAATTCATAGAGCACTTTTTGAATAGGTTTTCAAAACTTCAAAACTTCGAATTTGCCGATATTCAGATTTTCGGAAACTCACAAAACTTTATACATTTCTGTCATTCAGCTCTTCTAAGAGTTGAGACACAGCCATTTAAAGTGTAGGAAGTCAGAGACTCCAGACGACGAGACACACTGCGTCTCTAACCTCCTCAACTTGAAATGGCCATATCTCACAGCTACTAGAAACGCTAGATAATTGATTTTTCGACCAAAACAAAGTTTACCTTATCCACATCCAAATGTGGCAAAATTTCCAAAAACTGATCAATATTTTCATCGGATTGATTCGAGTTTTTGTTCGTAAAAATGCATTCATCACGATCTAAATCATAGCACGGACCAATTTCAATGTCGTTGGGGTCTTCGAGAATTTCTCTGAAAATTTTGGACTTTGAAGAATTGGAAATTTCACTATAATTTTCTAAAACTACTTTAAATTTCCTACAATTGCGTTGAGTTTATAGCTAGTCTAGGAACCGAGATACAGTGATTTGAAGTTACGGAGGCTAGAGACGCAGACGACGAGACACGCTGCGTCTCTAGCCTTCAAAACTTCAAAGCGCCGTATCTCGGCTCAAAATTGAGCTAGAAAGTTGAAAATTGGACAGAAAAGTGTTAAAAATGTGTCTTTTGTATCCTAGAATTTTTTCTCAGGAATTTTGAATTTTTGAATTCTCAAAAATTTGCCAATTCTAGATTTCTAGTGTTTTCTGAACTTCAAAAAGTGCTCCTTGAAATTTTAAGCAGTTCTGTCCAATTTTCATCCTTCTAGCTATCCAAGAAGCCGAGATAATGCCATTTGAAGTTTAGAAGAGACGCAGACAGTTAGAGTTTTGGCGTTTTGAAAACCTATTCAAAAAGTGCTACATGAATTTTTACACCTTTCTGTGCAATTTTCATATTTTTGGCTCTTCTAGGAGCCGAGATATAGCCATTTGAAGTTTGAGAGGTCAGAGACGCAGTGTGTCTCGTCGTCTGGCGTCTCTGAAAATTGGACAGAAAAATATGAAAATGATGGCGTTTGTATCCTAGAATTGTTTTTTCACAAATTGTGAATTTCCGAATTCTCAAAATTTTGAAATTCTGAGGTTTCTGAATTCCCATTGTTTTTTTCCTAATTTTACAAGGTGCTCCTTAGAATCTTAAACAGTTCTGTTCAATTTTCATGTTTCTAGCTAGTCTAGAAGCCGAGATACGGCTAATTGAAGTTTGGGAGAGACGCAGACAATCAGAGTGTCTCGTTGTCTGCGTGTCTAGCCGTATAAACCTCAAATGGTTATAACTCGGCTCTTAGAACCGCTGGAAATACGGTGTTAGACTGAAATAATTCACAGGAATTCTTCTTTTGAAGGAAAATCTTTTTTGAAATTCTTCTTTTTTTTCCTTTTTGAACAAATGAAATATCGAAACTTTCCCACCCAAATTTCAACCCTAAAATTTCCAAGGGGCCCATTTTCCCAAGACATTTTCTTTCCCTATTCCTTCCTCTTCTTCTGCTTTTTCTACAAAATAAATTTATTTCGGAAAATCTAGTCTCTTTCTTCTTTTTTCTCTTTTCTCGTACGTTTTGCAGAAAATGCTGGTCCCCTCATTTTCTCTAGATCTCCAGAAACCTGATAATCCAATCAGGAACCTTTTCCCTCCATCCACCCCCGCAGAATTCATTTCGTTTCGTCACTGTGTTTTCTGGAGAAATTCAGAAGACGTGGAACGTCTTCTGAAGGTTCTTCTAGAAGATTCTTCACGAAAAATGGGCGGAGCTTACTTTGGGATCTTTTTTAAATTTCGATTTTTGGCTTAGAATTTTCATTTAAATGTGTTTTTCTTAAAGTTTTTTTTTTCAAACTTCAGACTACAAACTACACTTCGGGACCCGGAAATATGAGATTGTATCGAGCACTCGTTTGCTTATTCTACTTTTTGGCACAAGGTGAGCTTTTTTGGATTTGGCGGGAAATTTGAAAATTTTTAAATTCTTCTGAAATTCTGAAATTCTGAAATTCTGAAATTCTGAAATTCTGAAATTCTGAGATTCTAAGATTCTGAAATTTCGAAGTTCAGAGATTCTGAAGTTCTGGAATTCTGAAACTCTGAAATTCTGAAATTCTGAAATTCTGAAATTCTGAAATTCTGAAATTCTGAAATTCTGAAATTCTGAAATTCTGAAATTCTGAAATTCTGAAATTCTGAAATTCTGAAATTCTGAAATTCTGAGATTTCGAAGTTCAGAGATTCTGAAGTTCTGGAATTCTGAAATTCTGAAATTCTGAAATTCTGAAATTCTGAGATTCTAAAATTCTGAGATTTTGAAATTCAGAGATTCTGAAGTTCTGGAATTCTGAAACTCTGAAATTCTGAAATTCTGAAACTCTGAAATTCTGAAATTCTGAAACTCTGAAATTCTGAAATTCTGAAATTCTGGATTTTACTGACTTTTAGTTTATGAAAAGTCTGAAATTATGGAAAATTTTGAATTTTCAAAATTTCAGAATATTCAGATTTTTCGAACTTTGATTTTTTGAAAAATGAAAAGTAATAAAGAGAATCTCCAAATTCTGAAAATTCAAAAAAAAAATTTTAGAATTTTTCGGAATCGAATTTTCGTAATTTTTGGTTTTCTCGAGTTCAAAATTTTCAAAAAAATTTTTAAATTGTTTTTTTCAAAATTTGCAGCATTCTCAATGCCACTGGGCCAATTTCTACGGATTGCCACATCAGAAAACTACCACAACGATCCCACAATTGCAGCGCTACCCAGTCTTCAGGTAGGTCAAAAATGAAAATTCTCAATAGAGCACACTTTCTAAAATTGCTTCTATCTAAGCTTGTTTTGCTCCGATTTTGCTCACTTTTGGAGCATTTGAACTAATTTTTTTTGGATTATCAATAGAGCGAATTTGCAAAAAAATTTCCAAATTTTATTTTTTCAGAATCGAATATACGAAAAAGTGTACGTATCATCAAAACCAGCGGGACCCACCGAGCGATACGATCGATTCATTCGAAATGGTCTATTTGATTTTCGTCCAGTGATAAGGCATCCTTATGAATATCGGTTACAGTAATCCCTGGAATTTTTTTAATTTCAAAAAAAAAATAATTCCTAAAAATTAGACTGAAAAATCTACTAGGTCAAAGTCTTTATTACTTATATCTCCAGCGGGTAGTTAATTGGTACTGGTTACTGTAAAATCGAATGGTCGAGGATTTGATATTTTGGATATCTAGGCCACCATCCTCTCACCCCATTTCAAAATTGTTTTGTTTTTTTTTTCTAAAATCTCAAAAAAAAGGATCATCTTTAATATTTTTCACTCAATCACATAATTTATATATTTTTTCAATTGTATTTTTCTCCTATTTTCGATTCTTTGAAATTTTTAAAACTATTTTTTTTGTGATGAGCAATAAAATAAGTTATTTGAAAAAAATTTCTAATTTCTAATTTCGAAAAAATTCGAAACTACAAGGTTTTTCAAAAAAAAAATTTTTTTTAATCAGGAACCCTAAGCCTAAGCCTTAGCTAGCCTAAACCTTCGGTATAGCTAAGCATAAGCCTAAGGTTGCTAAGCCGGATTTTCCCGAAGCAGCCTGTCACTCAACTGTCACCCTTGTCAGAAAACGTATGAAACTGATTTTCTGAGCCAGTACGAAGGTTATGAACAGTTGGGTAACAGGATAATGGGACTTTACGAGAAATCCAAAATTCGGGAAAATCTGGAAAACTCAAAATACGGAAATTTGAGAATTCTAGGAAAAACATCGAATTTGAAAAGTTCGAAATCCAAGAAATCTTATTTCTAGATACCGTAAACACTCTAATAGAACGCCACCCGTTTTGTCAAATTTGAGCCCATGTATCTCATTTTCTGTGAAAGATATCAAAAAGTGATCAACTGATAAAAAATTGCTGATAACATGATAAATATTTTATTAGTTGACAACTTTTTTCATATCTTTCAAAAGAAGTGAGGCTCAAAGTGGACGGTCCGGGTGGCGTACGGTAATTCCAAATCTTTCAAAAAATCCTTAATATTCCTGAAACCCCTGAAAAACCTGTGAAATTTCAAAAGTTCCAATTTTCGTTGAAATTTACCAAATCAATATTTTTCAAAACTCGTTAGTCTTTAAAATCCCCAAAGCTATAAGACGTGACGCAGAACAGTACTACAAGAGGCGAGTGGACGCCGAAGACGTAGTCACTCAGTTCTTCAGTGTCAATTGGACCAATGGACAACTAATTTTAAATTTCGTTGTGTCTTCTTTTCTCTAATGCCGGGAGTGTGCTAAATCGCACTCTTCTGGTGGTGATTCACCGGGGAATGTGCATTGCATCCCCCGCAATCACTTTCTTTTATTAAATTCTTTATCATGTAACCAGTATAAAAGCCCCTCTATTGTATCATTCTATATCGTTCAATAAACCAATTTAGCTTCTAAAACATTGCGTTTTCTCAGTCAGCAAATAGTCTTACTCGATTTGCCAAGAGCTTCAAAATGAATATAAACATGACTATCATCGGTCTACATTGAGAAATAGGGAATTTTTTTGAAATGTGGGACCCAAAAATCGAAATTCTCAAAACTAGTCATTAAACTTTTATCAAAAGTGAGCAAAAACTAACAAATTTATGTTTTATTTTGTATGAATTATGGTTACTGTAGTTTGAAACTTTTCATGGTCCTAAAACATACCAACCTCGACCAATTCTTTTGAAATAACGTTTTTTAGATTTCTGACATCGAGAGCTTCAAAATGAATATAAACATGCCTAGAATCGGTCTACATTGAGAAATGAGGGTAGAGACGCAGTGTGCCTCGTTTCTCTGACTCTCGAGCTTTTGTTTTGAGCGTATTTTCCTTAGTATTAGCTCAATTTTGATAAAATAAAAATTTTCAAGTTTGCCTTGTCAAGGGCTTCAAAATGAGTATAAACTTGACCAGTTTTGAAAATTTCCGATTTTTGGGTCCCGCCACGAAAACTTGAAGTTTTCAAATTTAAAGGAACATAGTCATGTTTATACTCATTTTGAAGCCCTTACTGTGGGAAATTCAAAAAAAAATTACTTTCATTAAAATTGGTCAAGGTTGGTGTGTTTCAGGACCATGAAAAGTTTCAAGCAAAATATTCCAGAAACCGTCTTTCCGACATAACTTTGACAGTTTCTGTCCAAATTGATTGAAATTATAATTTTTAGATTTTTCCTAGCAAGAGCTTCAAAATGAGTATAAACATGCCCATGTTCCCTTAAGTTTGAAATTTTTTCAAATGTTCGTGGTGGGACCCAAACAATCGAAAATTGTCAAAACTGGTCGTGTTTATATTCATTTTGAAGCTCTTGACAAGACAAATTCAAAAATTTTAGTTTCATAAAATTTGGACAAAAACGAAGCAAGTTACGACCAAAAATAAAGCTCGAGACTCAGAGAAACGAGACACAATGCGTCTCTAACCTCCTTTTTCAATTTAGACCAATTCTAGTCATGTTTATACTCATTTTGAAGCTCTTGATGAGACAAATTGAATGTGAGTACATGCTGGCCGAGAAAACCGGAATCGAAAAAGTTTTGGGTCCCGTCACGAAATTTTCAATAAATTTCAAATTTTAAGGAACATAGCCATGTTTATACTCATTTTGAAACTCTTGACGAGACAAATTCAATCGTTTTAGTTTAAGAACGAAAAAATCAAAATTTAAGATTTTATGGCATAATTTAAGCATTTGTATTGTACATAGGAATGACACAAAAAGTTGCAAAATTTAAAAAAAATTAAAATGTTCAGTTTGAAGTATCCTCATGAACACCAAGAGAGAGAATGTTCAAATAATTGTAGTTGTGGCCGGCGATGAGCTGAAAATTGAAAAAAAAATAATTTTGATTTCTCAAATTTCCCATTTTTGCTCACCTCATAACTGGACCGTCTGAACCGCATTGCCTGGTCTTTTAAAGCGCACGGAGCAATCTCTAGAAATCTTGATTGCTCATTTTTCTCTAATTTCCCTTTTGAAAACTTCAAAATTGTCAATTTTTCGAAATTCGTCGCAACGAACAAATCCTTCCCAATCGCCAAAACCTCCAATTGTTGATTCGCCACGATTTTCGGGTTGAAAAACCCGCGAAATTCAAATTTCGTGCTTAAATCCCATGTATCTGCCACGTGGATCCTTCCAGAAGTGTCTCCACTGATCAGATGACGTCCATCTGGGGTGATTCTGAAATAATGGGTTTTGGTGGCCTAGAAATCCATTTTAAGGCTTTTAAACAAAAAATTCAAATTTGTCACGTCGAGAGCTTTAAAATGAGTATAAAAAAGCCTATGCTCCTTTAAACTTGAAATTTTTGGAAATTCCGTGGTGGGACCCAAAAATCGAAATTCTCAAAACTAGTCATGTTTATACTCATTTTAAAGCTCCTTTCAAGCTGAATCGATTTATTGTACTGTTATCGAAATTGAGCGAAAACTAACAAAGTTATGTTTTGTTTTGTATGAATTATGGTTACTGTAGTTTGAAACTTTTCATGGTCCTAAAACATACCAACCTCGACCAATTCTTTTGAAATAACGTTTTTTAGATTTCTAACATCGAGAGCTTCAAAATGAGTACAAGCATGACTATGTTCCTTTGACGTTAAAGTTTAGGGCCAGAGACGCAGTGTGTCTGGTTTCTCTGACTCTCGAGCATTTGTTTTGCTCGTAACTCGTTTAGTTTTAGACCGATTTTTATGACATCAACATTCATATATTTCTCGTGTTTAGAGCTTCAAAATGAGTATGAACACGACCAGTTTTGAAAAATTTCGAAATATTGGGTCCCACCACGAAATCCCAAAAACTCAGAATTAAAGGAACATGGTCATGTTCATACTCATTTTGAAGCTCTGGACAAGCCAAATTAAAAAATCACATTTTCAAAACAAGAAAGCCCCATTTTTAGGTTCTTACTTCATTCCAAACATTTTCGAACCATGAATTTGTTTTTCCATCAAAACGCCACGTGTACTTCGGATATCGAAAACTCCGATCCGCCCGTCTTGTCTACCGACATACACATAATTCTGCTTGGATGGAAACCATTGGACCATATCAATTGGCACATCATCCCAGCGAACGATTTGTGGCAGGGAAATTCCGACTCTGGAAAAATTTGAATATGGCCTAACTTTTTCGATTTTGGGTTTCTAGGCCAGCAAGTGCTCTTATTCGATTTGTCTCATCAAGAGCTTCAAAATAAGTATAAATATGCCTAGAATCTGTCTACATTGAAAAATCGGGGTCAGAGACGCAGCGTGTCTCGTTTCTCTGACTCTCAAGCTTTTGTTTTAAGCGAAACTGCCTTAGTTTCTGTCCGTTTTTTTATGAAATTATGATTTTCAAATTTGGCTTGTTATGTGCTTCAAAATGAGTATAAACACGACTAGGTTTGAAATTCTTAGTACTTGGGTCCCGCCACGAAAATTTGAAAATTTAAAATTTAAAGGAACATGGGCATGTTTATGCTCATTTTGAAGCTCTCTACGTAAAAAACTCAAAACACGTATTTTCAATAAAATCGGTCAAGGTTGGGGTGTTTTAGGACCATGACAAGTTTCCGGTACAGTAACCGTTATTCATACATGTGTAACTTTGTTAGTTTTAGTTCAAACTTTTTCAACTAAAAATAATGTGATTTGTCTTGTTGAAAGCTTAAAAATGAGTATAATCATGACCAGTTTTGAAGATTTTCGATTTTTTGGGTCCCGCCACGAAATTTCAAAAAGTTTGAAATTCAAAGGAACATAGGCATAATTATACTCATTTTGAAGCTTGTAACGAGCTAAATTCGATAAATTTATTTTCAATAGAAAAAAGCTAAAAATCCCACCTAAAATCCACAATTTTCATAGTCCGACTACCATCTGCCACAGCAACTTTTGGATGCGTCTGATGACTATTCCAATCGAAATGAACCGGTCCATCGAATGTTCCAGAGTGTAAAACTCGTTCATTTAAAGCATCACATAGATTTAGAGACTTTTTGAATGTGCTAACCATGAAGAGACGCAGATCCACTGGACACCATTTGATAGTTTTCAACGGCTCCGATTCGAGATTTCTGGAAGGTTCTGAGAGTTGAGATTAGGAAATTTGAATTTGTCTCGTCAAGAGCTTCAAAATGAGTATAAACATGACTATGTTCCTTTAAATTTGACAATTTTTGAAATTTCGTGGCGGGACCCGAAAAATCGAAAACTTTTAAAATCGGTCGTGTTTATACTCATTTTGAAGCTCTAAACGCGGGAAATTCAAATCATTTAACTTCATGAAAATAAAAACAAAAGCTCGAGAGTTAGAGAAGCCAGACACACTGCTTCTCTGACCCCCATTTTCAATGTGAACCGATTCTAGGCATGTTTATACTCATTTTAAATCTCTTCAAATGACACATTCTTCTAGGTGGCCTAGAAATCCGAAATTTCAAATTCTAGGCTATCAAAACCGAAAACAAAGAATTTTAGGCCATCTAAGGCAGAAAAACTTACAATTGCATTGGTTTTTTCCACTTTTTTCGTTCCAAATTCTTGTACCGAGTTACAGTAACCGATCCACAGTAGGAGCCGAGAATAAGCCTGGAAATGGTGGCCTAACTTTTTGCAACATGGCCTAGAATCCTACATTTGATCTCCATCATCGATATCTAGTGAACTTATGTCTCTAAAATGTCCAATTCCAGTCTGTTCACATCCCATTTGAATATGTTTGGTCCATTTTAAATTTAAGAATGCTCGAGAAATTTGTTCGCGCTCGAAAATTTGGCATTTTCTGAAGTTTTTCGGGATTTTAAAACTTTTTTTTTGTGTTTTATTGTGTTTTTTCCACTATTTTCAGCCTTTTTCGCTGAAAAAATCGATGAAAAACCTGTTTTTCAACAATTTTTAGTTTCGCTGCGAGACTCAACGTTGGATTTTAGGCTATGCGCCTTTAAAGGTACTGTAGTAAAAATTTTTGACTATTTTTTTGCGATTTTCAGACGCGAACGTAAATTGACAACACAAATTGAATTGACCGTCAGCAAGCGCGCTCCGTTGAACAACTTTTCCGGCGCGATATTCAAATTAAATTTTTTCGGTCAAAAACTATTTCGGCTCAAATTTCGGTCAGAATTTCAAATAAAAACAGCAAAAAAGCACAAAATAACTTTCACTCACCAATAATTGTTACTTCACAAGTTTTTCATCGCCAATGCTTTTTGACAATATTTTCAGGTCTTTTTTGTCACATTGTTGTGAAAAAATGGTCGTGTTAATGGAAAATCGACTGTAATTCTTCATAAAATTACGGGTATTGTAAGCTGAGCTCAGGAGGTCCAGATCAGGAGAGGTTCTGATGATAGCTAAAGCAGCACCAAACACAAAACTATGAAATTTGATGATCATGAACATTTTATTCTTAATTTTCCATTAACTCGACAATTTTTTTACAACAATGTGACAAAAAGACCTGAAATTATTGTAAAAAAGCAATGGCGATGAAAAACTTGTGAAGTAACAATTATTGGTGAGTAAAAATGTTTTAAACTTTCCAAAAGGAGTGATTTTGCATATTTTTTGTTATTTTGTGCTTTTTTGCTGTTTTTATTTGAAATTCTGACCGAAATTTGAGCCGAAATAGTTTTTGACCGAAAAAATTTAACTTGAATATCGCGCCGGAAAAGTTGTTCAACGGAGCGCGCTTGCTGACGGTCAATTTGTGTTGTCAATTTACGTTCGCGTGATTTTCAGTCAATTTCAGCGATTTTTTGTAAAAATTTTCAAAATTTACGAGAATTTTGGCTGAAACCCCAAAAATGGCGAAAATTGCTCTCGTGGCGAGACTCAAACAACAATTTCAAGCTATGCGCCTTCAAACTACTGTAGTTCTTTTTGGCGATTTTTCAAAGCGAATTTCACCGGTTTTTATCGATTTTTTGTGAAATTTTTGACAAAAAATATTTATTTTGCACTGAAAATGCTATATTTCAGTTATTTTACAAAAAATTTCGCCAAAAAAAACCCAAAAGTAGCAAAAAAAAATTGCTTTCGTGGCGAGACTCAAACGACAATTTTTGGTCATGCGCCTTTAAGCTTACTGTATTAAAATTTTTTAATCAATTTTCTCGCGATTTTTCAATGCAAATTTTGGCCATTTTCAGTGATTTTTTTCGGGAAAAAAGCCAAAATTTTTTTGAAATTTTGTAAAAATAATAATTTCTAAAATTTTTGAAACAAAAAATACCTCGAATCCAGTCCCAAAACATACTCCTCTACTCGGACCATCTAAAATCAAGTTTTTCGCTGCGCAAAAAGGCGAAAACCTTCGCAAAACGGGCCGGTGGCCTAGAAAAATCCGGTTTCGCCAGTTTCTAGGCCACCTCGATTTCTCTGTGTGTTGGAGGCGGCTGACTGACTTAAATGCCTCATTTTCCATAGATTTCTCGATTTTTATTCAATTTTTCCGGAAAAATTCGAAAATTCATGAGAAATCAAGCTGAAAATCGAGTTTTTCACTGAAATTCGACCCAAAAACCACGTGATTCTATTGATTTTTCGTCTCCTGGAAGCTGGGTGTAAACAAAGTGATTTTCAACGATTTCGGCATATTTTTCTTGGTTTTTAGCCGTTTTTTGAGTCTTTTTTAGCGATTTAAACTAGTTTTAAGCGGAAAAATCGAAATTTTCAGCGATTTTCAGCCAGAAATGGCTGCAATCATCAATCAACGCGTCGACCAAGGCGAATCGAGTATGGGAGGCGCCAAACCAAGTATGGGAATAAAGGAATTGAAAAAAAAACGGGATAAAGAGCTAGAAGATCATAAAATACATAAAATTAGAAAAATAAATAAAAAATGTAAAAAATTTAAAAAAAAATGTTTTTCAAAAATTTCGAAAATCAAAAATTCAGATTTTTCGATAGTTTTTAGTGTGAAATCGATGGATTTTAGCAATTTTTTGAGCAAAAATTCAAGATTTTCAGCTTTTTTCAGCCCTAAATTGCTGAAATTCAAGCGAAAAATCGGAATTTTTGAAAAATTCCCAAAATCCAAAATTCCGAATTTCGGGTCGTTTTTGAGTTCAAAATCGCTGTTTTCAATATTTTTCCAGCTAAAAAATTGAAATTTTTCGCTTTTTTTAAAGTCTAAATTGCTGAAATTCAGGTGTCAATAAAATGGGAAATTTTGAAAAAAAATTCTGAATTTAAGGTGGTTTTGAGCGATTTTTAGTGATTTTTAGAGCTAAAAAACGTAATTTCCAGCCCAGAAACCCCTAAAAAACTGATTTTCTATCAAAAAAATTTTCCGAAAAATAATTTTTTTTTTGAAAATTTTCAAAAATCAAAAATTAGGATTTTTTGGGTTTTTAGTGTGAAATTGATGGTTTTGGTGATTTTTTGAACGAAATTTTCAGCTTTTTTAAGGCCTAATTTTGAAAAAAAAATTTTTGGAATTTTTTTGAAAAAAATTAAAAATCTAAAAATTCCGACTTCCAGACTTTTCTAGTCTCAAAAATAGCGATTCCAATGATTTTTGATCTCAAAATAGTCGATTTTCCAGCTCTCCTTCACAAAATCGCTGGCCACGTGGCACGAATCAACGATGTGATCCTTCTGTCGAAAGACGAGGGCGTCTGGACGGCAAGCGACGATAGATCCGTTCGTTTGTACCTGAAAAGGGATAATGATCAGTTTTGGCCGTCGATTCATCACTTTATGCCTGTGGCACCGACGTGTCTGTTCTACAGTGAGGAGACTTATAAGTGAGTCGTTTGGAGCTGAAATATGGCTGAAAATGGGGGGAAATGACTTGGAAATCATGAAAAATAGCTCAAAAAGCATGAAAATTGACCCAAAAATCATGAAAAAAAAATCCGAGAAAAAACCCAAAATTTTGGGCAGAAATGGCTTAAAATCGCAGAAAAAGTTCGTCTGAAAATGTGGTACTTTGACCATTTTTAGACCGTTTTTCAAGATTTTTGGGTCATTTTTCATGATTTTTGAGTCATTTATTATGATTTTTATGTCGATTTTCGTCAGAAATAGTCAGAAATTAGAGCAAAATTGACTGAAAATCGGCTATTTTTTAGCGAAAATTGGGCTTCCGAAAATTGGGATAAATTTTGTTCGATTTTCGACTATTTTTTTCATGATTTTTGGGTCAATTTTCATGATTTTTGGACCATTTTTTATGATTTTTGGACCATTTTTCATGGATTTTGGACCATTTTTCATGATTTTTTGATCATTTTTCCTGGATTTTGAGTCAATTTTCATGATTTTTGGGTCATTTTTCATGGATTTTGGACCATTTTTCATGGATTTTGGACCATTTTTCATGATTTTTTGGTCATTTTTCATGAATTTTGGACTATTTTTCATGGATTTTGAGTCAATTTTCATGATTTTTGAGCTATTTTTCATGGATTTTGAGTCAATTTTCATGATTTTTGGACCATTTTTCATGGATTTTGGACTATTTTTCATGGATTTTGAGTCAATTTTCATGATTTTTGGACCATTTTTCATGGATTTTGAGTCAATTTTCATGATTTTGGACCATTTTTCATGATTTTTGGGTCGTTTTTCATAGATTTTGGACCATTTTTCATGGATTTTGGACTATTTTTCATGGATTTTGAGTCAATTTTCATGATTTTTGAGCTATTTTCATGATTTTTGGAACCAATTTCCACCCGAAATCCCTATTCTTCCAGACTCCTCGTCGGCCTGATCAACGGAAACGTCTACGAATTCAACGTGGCCGACGACTTCAACAGTATGACAGAATCCCGGAAATGGACATGCCACGCCGGACCAATCTCTGGCCTAGGCTTCGCCCTCTCCTCTGAGCTCATCTTCAGCTGCTCGCGTGACAAATCAATCGTCTGGCATTGCTCAGAGAACTCGAATAAGGTCGGATCGTACCTTCTGGAGAACAGCTGCACGGCGATGGTCATCGATTTGCCGTTTGTGTTTGTTGGCGATCACGGCGGACATGTTACTGTACTTCGGATTATTGATAATCAACCGAATCTGGTTAGCAAGCTCAGCGCGCATACTAGTGAGTTTTTTTGGGGCAGAAAATGACAATTTTTAGCCCTCGAAGTCGAAAATTTGACTGAAAACGACCAAAAATCGATTTTCTAAAAATCTAGAAAATTCAGCCCAAAATGGCCTAGAAAACCCAATTTTCAGGAATTTGGATTTCTAGGCCACGTGTCGAATTCTAAGCCAGCACTTCGAAATGGCCTAAAAATGACCTAAAATGACCTTGGTGTGTTTTATAGGCCATTTTGAAGTGGTGGCCTAGAAATCCAATTTCCCAAATGTCTAGATTTCTAGGCCACGTGTCGGATGCCTAGGCCGGCGTATTTTTATTGGGTGTTCCTAGGCCAAAATCAACCTAAAAATAGCCTAAAACGACACTCGTGTGGGTTTTCTAGGTAGTTTTAACATGATGGCCTAACTTTTGCAAAAATTTGATTTTCTAGGCCAGCATCCTAAAATGGCTTAAAAATGACC